AGTTTTATCGCTATTTAATATCCACTCCTGTATCACTTAGTTTGCTCTAGATTGACTGATATTTGTACTTGTGTTGTACCGCTTGAAATATAATCAAATTTTGTACATATTTAACTTGGAGCAAATCTAGTAGCCCTATAATCTTTCCATGGGCAAATATCCTTATAGACTTAAATGCTAAACTATATAGGCGAAGGTAACTTACTATATTAATTAACAAAAATTTACACTTACTTTTTTTAGTATCATAAATGGCTTCGCCTTGCCTTTAAAGGAAGAACACAAAACCTTCTTGATGAAAATATTATTGCCGCTACATAAAGTCAAATCTCTCAGTGTTTACCATGCTCAGCTAGCCTACTGCGTCGTTCAATTCCTTGAAAAAGATCCCACACTCACGCAACAGGTACTTTTATTTTTCATCAATGTTATTCTTATGTAGTAAAATAGTTCTTTTTATTTTACTTTCCATTCGTTTTTTTCATTGATGAACAAATTTGATTATTAATATGTAGAGATGATCTTGAGACTTGTTCTCTTTAATAATATATCTCTAGCTACTTATTATTTGTTTACCTAACCCTTTTACCGTTCTAGGTCGTCTTGGGTCTTCTTAAATTTTGGCCAAAGATGCACAGTCCAAAGGAAGTGATGTTTCTAAATGAGTTAGAAGAAATCTTGGATGTCACAGATCCTGCTGAGTTTAGGAAGATAATTCGACCTCTCTTCCGCCAGCTGGCTAAATGCGTCTCTTCGCCTCATTTCCAGGTTAGTCTCATTAAGTAAAATTAAGATTATCGCCAGCCGGACACATTATTATTCAGTTATTTCATATACCTTTGTAATATGAATTTTTTGCATTTTATTATATATCAAGTGTATTCAACCTATTTCGTTTAAGTTGATAAAGGGACTGGTAGTTGAATTTTCGTACAATGATATAAGTGGACCTTACGTTTCCATTGAATTTCACATAGCCTTGCTTTTCCCAAAGGTATTATAATCCAGTGTGGACTACAGTTTCGATCTCTCCTAGGCCTTATGAGCACCACCAGTGGGACCCTAATACCTCCCTAAACGAAATAGTGTGAACAATTTTATTATTCAAGATTTACTGTTATTCTCGAAACCCTAATAAAAATGAATATCCAAACTACAATATTGTAATTTATTAGTGCGTTATATTTATATTTTTAACTCGACCTCAAAATGCTCTATTCTAAAGCGTCCTGAATAAATATGGGCACTATCAGGTCTAAAAATCACCAGTAGAATTTTTATAAGACCTAAATTTGCATATGGTGATGGAAGACCAAATGGTTGAATTTTTCGCTGAAATAAATAGATCCTTTTACGATGCCAAGGAATTTCACTTAGCCAAGAGTTGCTTGTATCCAGGTCATGTTGCAGCCTCGACCTCGCCTTGGTTTCATCAGTGCCCTCAATAAATTAAGGGATATTTAAGATAACAATCAATCAATGATCAGTTAATTCCCTGGGAAAATGTTCATCCACATGACATATTACCCAGTTAGCGGTTACTATTTGGCCTTCGTAATGCTTCCTATATTCCACAACGAATTACCAAACTAACCACGCCCTTTTCCGCACTTCATTGTTTGTCCAGAAACCTGAAAAATTTGAAAGATATTAGACTTCGCTATCCGATAAATATGTCACATACATGTGACCAACGACCGAAAATCTACCATTGATCGGACTAACGATACTTTTTCCAGAAGTGATTTCGTTTTTTGGTCTAGAGATTGCCATTTCTTTTTTTAACTTCGAATTAGTATATTCTTAACTACTTGTGCACTTACAGACACTCAGCCAAGGTGACTGTTTCTGTCTGGTTGAGTTTAACCATAATGAATGGGATTGATCTATATTCGGCAAACAGTATTCCGTAGATAACCTGCGACTAATCGAATTTATGTGCCACTATGGAATAAGC